GGCACTATATGTCTGTCTAGTGGACAGACCTTTCCTGGGCATCTTTACGGAGCTTTCATGCCAGGTGTTTCTCAGACTTAATCTCTGCAGCCAGCCAGTGAGACATCTTTATGAGCTCCAGCTTACAGGTAGGAACACTGAGGCAAGAAAAGATTACATAATTTTCCAAGATCACACGGCTGGGATGTGACTGGTCCCAGATGGGATGCTAATCCAGGAGAGACTGTATGGGGGGCAGGGGTGGGAGATGGGGGGCTGAGTCTAACACACACAAACATCCTTTCCCTTCTTAGCAACTCTCTGGCCCCCACAGCATGTCCTGGGACTTTTCCTGGCTGGAAAATCTGAATGAAGAGTTGTTTTGTATCTTAATAGTAGTTCTGTTTTCTTTTCTAAATTTGACATATTTTTCATAACAGCCATATATTATTTCTGTGCTCTGAAACATTGAATATTTGCACATCCTTCCTGACTGGCTGTAAGAATCATTTTTTTAAAGGTGATATAAAAAGGTTTATTTATAGCTTTCAAATTTCCCCTTAAAGTCACTTTATCTTCAAGTGGAAGCTTTTTTGCAAATGATGTAGTCTAATGGTAAGTCCATCACGGGTACTCTGGGAGAGTTCCTCACTGTCCCTCAGTGAGAAACGACCCTGGGCCAGATGTCAGGAGAAACCCACAATGTATCCTCAGCCCAGTCCAGCTCTCTCCCTGGGGCTCAGTTTCCTGAGTCTATAAAATGGGGCCAGGGTCAGGGGGAAATTGTCATTAGAATCATTAGATTTCCAGTAGCTCTTACATCTCTGGCAGGTGGTGGCCAAAAGTTACCAAATACACCTCAAGCCACAAAACAGGTGGTGCAAATACTTTTCTTCCTTAAGGCAGACTCAAAAGAGTGAAAACCAGAGGGGACCGTCCTAAGACAAGTTACCTGAGTGACATTCTTTTTATGTCTATGAGTGTCATGGGAAGTTACTTTTTATGTTAACACCGAGGTGGGTCCTGCTCCTTCCATATCACCAGAGTCTATTGTTACTTTTGAACATTTTTCTTAAATTATGATAACAAGACACAACATAAAATGTACTATCTTAACCATATTAAGTGTATAGTTCAATAGTGTTCCGTAACCACCTTCTACTTTCTGTTTCTATGAGTTTGACTACTCTAGGTACCTCATATAAATGGAATCATATGTTTTGTCTTTTCGCGACTTGCTTGTTTTAAGGATAGTATCTCCAAGGCTCTCCGTGTTGTGGAACGTGTCTGCCGCATGTATACACCGCATTTTGTTCAAGCCGTCCCTTGGTTGTTACATATTTACATTGCGTCCACCTGTTTGCTATTGCGAATAATACCATTAGTAACACGGGTGCATAGCTACCTCTGAGACCCTGCTTTCAATTCTGCTGGGTGAATAACCCAGAAGCGAAATTGCAAGATCACATGGCAGTGCTATTTTTAATTGTTTGAGGAACCATCACACCAATTTCCTTGGTGGTTAAGTCTTTTGCGTTCCCGCCAACAGTGCACAAGGGTCCCGATTTCCCCACGTCCTCATCACCACTTGCTATTTTCTGCTTTTTTGATAGTTCCCATCCGAACGCGTGTGAGGCGATACCTCCTTATGATTTTGATTTGCCTTTCCCTAGTGATTAGTGATGTCAAATCTCTCTTCATGTGCTTGTTGGCCATTCATATCTTCTTTGCAGAAATGTCTGTTCAAGCCCTTTGTCAAATATGTACAATACTTATTTTTTTTGAGAATTTATTTATTTTTTAGAGAGAGGAGAAGGGAGGGAGAAAGGGAGAGAGAGAAACATCGATTGGTTGCATCTCACACACCCCCCAACTGGAATCGAACCTGCAACCTTTTGGTTTGCAGGAGGACGCTCGACCCTCTGAGCCCTACCAGTCAGGGATCTGTCATGTGTTTTAATTATGGAAGTAACACAATATTGAAGAAAGTTAGAAAATACAGAAGACATGCAGATGGTAAATAAGTGTATAAAGACATGCTCCACATCATGTCACCAGGGAAATGCTAATTGAAACACAGTGAGATACCACCCCTCACCCATTAGAATGGCCCAAATCTGGAACATTGATACCAGCAAATGCTGGCGAGGGGCTGGAGCAACAGGAGCTCTCATGCGTTGCTGGTGGGAATGCACGAGGGTGCGGCCACTTTGGAAGACTTCAGTAGTTTCTTACAAAACTGAACATACTGTCACTACAGGCACCACTCAGCCTCACTCTCCATCGCCTCCTTTCATCTCCTGCTGAAGCTCCCACCCCAGGGCTGAGAGCTGTGGGTGCGGTCGGTCTGTGCTCCAGGACCCCTGAGCAAGGAGGACTAAGGTGAGTGGGGCATCTGGGCAGGCAAGGGAAGACGTTGGCGTGGCCATTCACTAACTGGATGGCTTAGGTAAGTCACTTCCTCTGTCTGAACCTCAGTCTCCTCATCTGTAAAGATAATAATATCCCCTCCCCTGTAGGTTGGAGTAATTTATAAGGAATAAATTACTTATAGCATGTACGGTATATAGCGAGGAGTCTGGTAGGAATTTTCAATAAAAGGCAGTTGCTGTCGTCATTGTTGTTATGGTGATGACGACTCAATGGCTTAGGGCGGTCACTCGGACTTGCTGAGACAGTGGGGCAGTGAAACGTTTGAGGCAGCCTGGCATACATTGTGACAAACACCGCCACACTCAGTAGGTATAGCCCCTTCAGCTGTAAGCACATCAGGTCAACCTGTGCCAGAAGTGGTGACATCAAAGACCCAGTCTGCACACACCACTGAATTAACATCAGAGCATCAAGTGCTGTCACCCACGAGGACCACCCCCATCGCAAGCCTTCCCACCTGTAAACTATGGCCTCATGGTGCCAGTTTGTTTTAGCAAAAGGACCATTTGCTTAAACGAGCCTGCCAAATGAGAAGGTCCAGATTTCTCTCTTTTTTTGAAAGAAGCCACAGATATAAATAAGCCCAAGATGGTCTGTTTCTGCCAGAACTAACCGATAAAAGACAGTTGAAACAAACCTGCAATCAATTGGGAGGAATTGATCAGGGGACCTGCCAAATCCACCCACCCAGGCTTTGAGGCCAGTTTAAAAAGTTATTGGGAAACTCGACAACCCCCCAATCTCCTCCCAGTCAACCTTGGAGGGAAAATCCAAGTCGAGAGAAAACATGAAAGTTACTCAAAAGGTACAAGGTCCATGGAGACTTTATCTTAACAGATGCCATTGTCTCAAGCCCAGCACTTCCAGGAGTGAAGTTGCCAGGTGTAGTAAATAAAAATACAGCCCAGTGAAATTTGAATTATGTTCCAAATATTGCATGAGCCATACTTGCACTGAGTTATTTATGTGAAATTCTCACTTAACTGGGCATGGTGTTTTATCTGACCTAGGAGTGACAAGGGCAGTGCTTTGTCTTCAGTTTAGAAACTTGGAATCAGTTGCCAGTATTTTAAGGATGTCAAGCTTTCTTTAAAAATGGGAAGCCCTCACTGTGCTGGTAGTAGCTGCTTGGAAGTAACGTAATGGGGACAGAAGGGAATGTGGGAAAATGGAAATTGATTACTGGTATATTAGACTGAAGGGATAGGGTAAGTAACTTCTTTTCTAGTTCATTTGTTGCATGATGAGTCTGGTGGTCGCACTTCAGCAGTGCATGCCTGGGGTTGGGGGAACTCGCCCTTTTTCAGCGTCCTCTGCTGCGGTAGATCCAGTAAGTGCTGGCTGCAGGATCTAAAAAGCTCACCCACCTGTAACATCACCCGCAGGGTTTGATTCCCGCTCCCCCCCCCCCCCCCCCACACACACACACCTGAGGGCAGAAAGGTCCCTCCACTGGGTAAAGATGTGCTCACAGTGCCCCCTGCAGACACAGGTTGGAGCTGCAAGTCCTAGAAGGGAGCCCAACTCCATCTTCTCTACCAATTGTGTAGAGCACATTGTAAATTAGGCAAAATCTAAGATGGCAAAACAAAACAAAAAAATGGGGAAGGCAGGGGACGGGGAGCGGTGATGAAAAGAAACCAAGACAGCCTTTGAGAAGTGCTTTCTATGTTCCAAGCTAAGTTCTAAGTGTTCCTTTACTCCTCAAAATACCCCCATATGGTTGGTACTGTATCCTAATCTTTCTGAGTAAGCAGCAGAACCAGAATTCTAGCCCAAATTTGAGTCCAGAGCCCATGTTTCACAGCTAGGATACAACTCACTTGAACACATGCATAAATTTGACTAAGCACAATAAGGTTACCACCCCCCAAACTTCCTTCATATTCATACCCATACCCATCTAAATTCCCCCATCAGTGTTTTCTCATTTGAAACTGGGTTCCCTCCCTCGGGTTGTCTTTGGGATCCCTGCACACTAGCTCATTTCTTCATACTAAAGACAGCTATTACTGAGTCTTTATACCAAGTGCCACACTAAGTATTTTGATCTCATTCAGTCCTCAACAGCACCATGAGTAAGGTAATGTTCTTCTCCCTTTCACAGTTGAAAATTTTAAAGAACTGGAAACCACAAGCTGTGAATTGTTTCCTTACTATGCTAGGTTCTAGGCTAAGCACTTTACAGACATGAACTTATCTCAAAACCCTCTTATGTAGCCAGTCATGAACCCCATTTCAAATAGGAAAACTGAGGCTTAGGGGCATTCAATAACCTGCACAGGAACCAAGCCAGAGGACAAAGCAGCAAACATCTAGTGTTTGGTGGGACTGAAGTTAGGAATATATGTGGGGGGAAATCAATCAGATTAGCCATGTGTCATTGGAATGTTCCAGTTAAACACTAAAAATGTAAAAATAGGGTAGTTCAAGCACAGTCCCAATCACACCTATTAATACCATATTATCACCCGTGAAGCACAGATGGGGGATCCACCCTCCAACCCTGTAGTTTTAAGTCTGTAGAAATTTGGTTAATGACCCCAATTTAGTGCTTCTTAATCCCCAATGACAAAACTCAAGAGCACTTTGCTTTCAAGAATTTTTTATTTTCCTTCTCCAGATAAGGAAGCGTGCAAAATTCCATTATGCTTTCTCAGGAAAACACAGGGTCAATTTTTTCTCAAGAGGCCTTGTATTCCAACTCCACCAGTGAGAAACTCCTTAGAAAGAAAAAAAAAGGTACATTACAATCAGCACCTCCTGACGTGCTACTTGTTTGGGATGATATGGGAGCATCTGGTTAAAACTTTAGGAGCTCAGTGGAATGTACCACGATCTCCCAACTCAAGACAACTTTCTCTCTTCCGCACCTCATTGGAGCCTGTGTGCTACAGTCATGATGTTAAAATGTTCAACCCCAGTCTAGTCTAGATCCTTTCTAATTATAGGGAACAGTCAAGGACAAAACCAGGAGCACACGAAGACTTTTATGTTGATTCTAGACACAGCACCAATGCAATGCATACAAGATACTTTAGAGAACAGGGGTATTTATAAATATGAAACAGACAAACACATTACGGAACTGCTACTGTTCTTAGTTACTAATCTCAGTTACTAAGTTATGTGGGATAACAGTCTAACAAACCTTTTTTAAATTCAGAGTATTGAGTGGTCATTGACAAAGGATAAAGTTTTTTTTTTAAACAATCTTTGCTGCTTTTATACTGTTATTTTATTTATTTATCTTTAGAAGGGAAGGAGAGAAATATCAATGTATGGTTGCTCCTGGTGTATCCCCTGCTGGGAACTGGCCTGCAACCCAGGCATGTGCCCTGACAGGGAATCGAACCATGATCTTTTAGTTTGCAGGCCTGTGCTCAATCCACTGAGCTACAGCAGCCAGGGCTAGATTTTTGTTTTTTTAATATTCTATTTGCCCTGGCTGGCATGGCTCAGTGCCCAGGCACCTGACTGGCAACCTTTAGCTTTGCGGGACAACACCCAACCAGTTGAGCCACCAGGTCAGGGTGTGGGACTGGAGACAGACTTTTTTCCTTTAAGACCTAGTCATACCAATAGGTCAATACAGTCTTCAGTTGAGGACTTGATTCTCCCCTCCTATTTTTATCCTCCATCTGGAACTGATCCCCAGGTTACTCCCAGGCAGGCAAACTCAAAACCCATCCACCCTGAGCACATGTAATAACCCTTTCATTAATGATTCATTTTTTAAACACCATTCACAGAGACCTTACCTGTTACAGCACAGACTGAGCCAAGAGGAAGATCAGGCTGCAATCAATTTTCTGCCCAGTGACACACAGGGCTCTAAACCTGCACCAAGTTAACAGATGAAATGAAGATAAATGACCTGAACGCTAAGGGAGCAGGGGGGCACCCAGAGTAAACCCAATCCTCACTTTAAAAAAGCCTACACATAGAAGCCCTGGCTGGTGTGGCTCAGTGGATTGAGTGCAGGGGATTCCCAGTCAGGGCACATGCCTGGGTTGTAGGCCAGGACCCCAGTAGAAAGCATGCAAGAGGCAACCACACACTGATGTTTCTCTACCTTTCTCCTTCCCTTCCCCTCTCTAAAAAACCCATAGAAAGTCATTAGCAGCTAAGCAGAAAAATAGGGGTAGCTCTCCAGGGCCAATGCATCAGACAAAAAACTGGCTAGTAGTTTAGTTTGATCAACAGGGTCGATCTGATGGGGAAAAAAGTTAAGTCATCACGTGCAATGGCCATATTTGAGCCACAGAAAATAGAACGCAAGGAGGATAGCCCCATATTTAAAAGAGAAGCAATCACTACCTCCTCCATTCTCCAGATTTTACGTCGGTTCAGCCATGTGGGCATGGGTACTTAGAAAATGTGCACATCACTTCCCAATCCTTTGCCACTCCTGGATTCATCCTGGTCCACACCAAGTCTGCTTTCTGCCAACAGTAAACCGGAGAAGAAACACAGAACATGAGCTCTAACCCACTGGATGCCCAAACAAATGAGGGGTTAGGAGCTCTCAAGCTGGCATATCAGACAGAAACTGGCTTAGAGATGTTAGATCAACATGGTCGATCTGTCGGGGAAAAAAAGCTCAGTCATCATACATGCCAGTAAAAAGCTCTTGCCTGCTACAGATAAAGAGCCCTGAACCAGGAGTAAGATTTGGTTGGTCTGCTTCTACACTTATGAATTCATTCAGTATTTGAGCACGTGTCCCATTTGTTGGCAGTAAGAGAATGGCGGCTCAGACAAATACCCATCTTCTGAGCTTTTATTTGATACAGGCCAGTGTGGCCAGCAGAAGTTGGGGGGGGGGGGGGAGCTGGCTTTTTTCCAAATGTCAGGATGTTGCATTTTAATGCTAAGGTGTTATCACTAAAAATCAGACATTCAGGAAGAGCAAGATTTAAGAAAAACATGATCCACCCCCCACACACACCAGCCCTGCCCAGGCCCATGAGTCAGTGGATGGCTAGGTCAATAGAATGTGATACTCGACTTTCCTGTAAAAATGTCACCCACCCATTTGTAAATTTAAGCACACAAGAAAGCTGTTTCTCAAGAAAGTGAAGAAACGGAATCCGAAATGTGCTTAAAAGGGCATTAAAGACTTACACACCAATGATGCAACTCCTCACTGTTACCTTGTCCCACACACACCACCTCCTTGGGCTTTAAATGCTCACATGTTTCTCCACTTTGCCTTTTATCCAATCCTAAGAGATGTCCTTGCTATGCTTTCTCCTGCCTCCTCTGCCTCTACAGCAACGGTTTGCAACGAATGTGCCTTAAGAATTTTTAAAACATGTAATAACTGACTACTTAGTGAGGGGCACTGGCCTCTTTTCTGTTAAAGTTGTCAACAAACTGACAAGAGCCAACATGGCAATAGCTATCTGGTATGAATGAATCAAAATTATACCCATTTAAAAAAACAGATCAGCAAAGAAATGTATTTTGTGTTTGGCGAAATTTTAATAATTAAGTTATGCATGCCATGAGATGAAAAACATTTAAAGTCACTGCTCCAATGTATAAAATACGCTCCAAACCGCCACTCTGGAGCATTTTCTCAATCCATTGAGTTTTTGCTTTCTCATGCCTATGCAGTCAATTTGGCTCAAATAAACTCATAATAAGTACATTTTTGTGAGTTATAATAAAGCCCTTATTATAATTCAGGGCCCTTTAAGGACCACCTAATACATGCTTTATAGGAATTGGCTATCGTTAAACTACTTCCAAGCTAGGCCAGCAAAGGAAGTGGCTCCTCGGAGCACGTGCTTCCCACAGTAGGCCAGAAGACATGCTTACCAGAGATCAGGAGATCAAAGGCTCTCGATGTCTACACGACATCGGGGTTCCTTTGGAGGCCCGGCAACAACTCTCTCCTTCAAGATCCATTCTGTACCCTTTGATCACGCTAACCTGCAAAACAAAGAGAAGGCAACAGTTGCTACCGGCCCACAGTAGGAAAAGAACATGGCTGGGCCTTTTGAGGCCGGCGTATCAGTACTAACTGGCAAGTGTTCAAAAGGTAACAGCATGGTCGATCCGATGGGGAAAAAACGTAAAGTCATCATTTTCACCAGCCAAGGACTCCTCAGGTACGTACACAGGGAGCAGGTTTTTCCAGCTCTGATCTCCCGCGAGGCCCGATGGCCTATTAGGGTCAGAGGCAAGGGTAACCATGGGCAGAGGCGGCAGAGGCGATACCAAAAAGAAATGGAGATTTGTGAATTTGGGAAAGAAAACAGATCTAAACTCACCACACAGGGTAAAAACCCTGAATTCTCAGGGCTGGATGACATCGGATGAGGACGATGCAGGAGAACAAACTCAGGCGGTCAAGAAGGAAATGCAAACGCAAAAGAACGAGGTGCTGCGGCACCCTCCTTATATAACCAGAGGGGACTTTGCGCCTGCGTGCTGGACCCCAAGCGCTTCCGGTTCCCGCGGCGCCGCCCGGGAAATGTAGTCTCCGACGGTACTTCGTAGTTGTCTAGGCCGCGCTAGGACCGCCCCCTTTTTTGTACACATTGGGCCGCCATGTCGCGCTTCACACGCACCAAGAATTCCGTCAAGTTTCCCCCCTTTCGGGGCCGGCGGAGGCTTGCAACGGCCTGGGGCGCTGTTCACCGGCCCCCCGCAGCCCCCTCCCCTCAGCCGCGCCCGCCCGAGCCGCCGCGGGAAGCTGAGGCGACGCCTGCCCGCTCCCGCAGGGTCTGAGGGCGGGGGAGCCAGCGGTGCCAGGGCCCCTCCTCCTGTGTCCTCGCGTCCGCCGGCCCGGCCCGCTCTCCCCTTCCGCCCCTCCCGCTCAGTGTTTGGAAACCGAAAGGGAAGAAAACCGAAAGTGCGCGGCTCTGGGCGGAACCGCGGACCTGCTTGGACCCGAACCGCGGCACCAAACGGCGGCGGCGAGAGGACGCGCCGGAGCCGGGTGAGTGACCCCTGTCCCGCGTCCCGGGCTCCCGCCACCCCCGGCGCCCCACTCGCCCTCCTCGGCGCCTGTCACTTTCACCGCTTTACATTCTCTCTGCCTTGGACTTCCGTTTTTCCCAGCGCCCGCATCTTCCACCTTGGAGTCCCCGTCCCCAGCTCCCCCATCATCTTCATCCCCCGCCTCTGCACCACCTCGGCCCCCCAACTTCACCCCCTCTGCGCCCAGCGCCTCCATTGTCCGCCCGGAGAGAGCCCTCCCTCGCCACCTCTGCCTGCCGCCTCCGTCTCTACCCTCACTTTCTGCCTCAGTCACCCCCACCCCTCCCCCTCCTCTGCCCTCACCCCGGCCATCGCGCGGTTTCTACGAAGCACCCTCCCCCCAGTTTCCAGGTCCCCCATCACCTGCAGCGCCCCCTTCCTCCCAAGGTTCCCGACCCCTTCAGCTCTCACCACCACCGCTGCCACTCCCCGCTTCGGCCCGGCCGTGGCGGCTCCCTCGCGCCCCCACACAGCCCCGGCTCTCCCTGACCCCTTGGGGACCCCGCCAGGCCCCGGGGGGCTCCTGGGGCCAGCGGCGCCGCCATCCCTCTTGTACCCTCTCGGGCCCCTGGAGTCGTCCCCCCGAAACCCGGCCCTGGCTGCGGGTCTCGGCCTCTGTCGTCCCACCGCGGTGACCACCGCTCGCCTCCCCTGCGATCCTCGTCCCAGCCTGGCCGTCGGTGCTCGTCTTCTCCCCGCCCTTCGGGCATTGATTCCCAGAGAAACCCACCGTGGTCTGCTTTTGTCGAAGCATTTCCTGCTTCTTTCCGCCCCTCCCGTGCCTTGCCTTTCATCTCAGAAAATTTCTGAGTTTCTAATTTAGGTGGTTTTTATTTTTGTTTTTGTTTTTGTTTTCTCAAGTGGGGGGAGAAGGAATTTTTTCCCTGGGAGTTTTTTTCCCATGAAAAATAAATACATAAATACATAAACCAAACAACTCAATATTGAACCTGAGCCAAGAGAGCGGGGTTTGATACCACGAGGGAGATTTACCAAAAATTTTGCCAGCGAGAAGGAAAGGGACTCTTTTCTGATGAGGATAAAAGCTACTCCTCATATAATGCCAAATCTATTCACAGTTTCCAACCATGAATATTTAAAAACTTAGAAGGACAGTCCCAGAAAGCCCCTTGCTGAGGTCTACAAACCACCCACTTTTCCTCTCGCCCTAGCCCACAGGGTGTGTATGAGCTCTGTTGGGAAGTTCCCTTAAATGGGCTTCTCTTCCTCCAAAAATCAAGGTAGAAAGAGGAGAAGGAAAACTGCAGATTCTGAGCTGATTGAGGAAACAGCATCCTGCAGATGCTAAGCCTCCTGATTGTTGAAACATGTGATTTTCTTTGTTTTGATTTCACTAGAATGGAGAACTTAGGTTGGCTGCATTCCAAAGAGTAGCATAAGGGGTAACTACTAAATAATGATTCACAAACTGTAGAGTACTGTAAGCTATAGAATGCTATGTAGTATAAATGCCGAATGGGGTGGTATGTTCATGTTTTTGGATTAACAAAAATGTACTTCTTTCTGTCGTGGCAACCATGTTTATCTGCTTTATAGAAAGGAAAATGAAACCTAACAACAGGTTAGGTGATTTGGCTAAAGGCATAAAACAAACAGTAGTTTGGAATGGGAATAAATGACACTTCCTCTACTCTGAGAAAGTGCGGGGATAAAGAGAAGGGGGGAATTTGACTCCTCAAAGTCACCTAAATTGTGAATTTAATGTTTTTATATCATAGTTGAGTGTTCAGAGTTGAACACTGTCCATGATTAAAATCTGCGTTTAACTCTTGGTTAACAAATCATTAAGATTTGGCAGGATTGACTTAATGCTGTTTTAGGGTTTTTCTGCCAGATGCTATGTTTCAAGAGCATTAATTCCTTTCAACCTGTACAGATTTCTGGGCAGTTTAAGGTGGAGGAATTCAAGTGACTCAGACATGGAGGACAGAAGACCTTGTCCAGATGCCAGGCCCAGGAATCCCCATAACAACCACAGAGGTGAGTAAGGTTTTCCAGCTAATGGGAAGGAAACCAAGCTCCCCGTGAAGGAGCAGGCCCACCCATGATTGGCTGCATCTCTCAAGTAAAAAATAGTTTATTTCTTAGCTATAATATGATTGACTCTGAAAGAACGGCCCTTTGCTTTCTCCCTGAAGAGAATTGATGGATGGGTGCACTTCAACAAAGAGAGTAATGAGGTGTCAGAGTGGAAGTAGTGCTCTGGTTTAGAGCAGCACTGTCCAGTAGAAACATAAGAAAAGCCAAAAATACAATTTAAAAATTGTCCAGTAGCACTGTTTAAAAAAGCACAAAGAAACAGGTAAAATCCATTTTTAATTTAATAAAGTTTAATGATTTAGTACTTAAAGTCAATATATTCAAATATCTTATAATTGAATGTAGTATTATCATAGTACTTTACTAATTTTGAAAGTACTTTTGAAATTTCACTTATTTACCATATATTTAAGTATTTAAGATTTTACCAATATAAAAAATTTTAGTGAGCTATTTAACTTTTTTTGGTATTAGGTATTCAAAATTCTGTGTGTTGTTTTACACGTCCTAATTCAGATTAATCACATTTAAGATGCTTAATAGCCACAAATACCTAGTGGCTTTATACTTGAGAGCATCTGTCTAGAGTCTTAGCCATCAAAGCAAAATTAGTTCTAAAAGCATTACTCTACTACAGTGATTGTTCTGTTATGCTAACAACTTTCTAAAACAAACAACCAAGTGGATTTTTGCTTTTCCCTAAGTTTTCAATATGTCATCTGAGTTTAGCTGTGGAACAAATGATGAAGAACTGCAGAATTTTATTTTATGAGCTGTATGAATGTTGAAAAGAATGAGAAACAATCAATTTTTTGTTCTTCCAAAATGTCTAGTTTTCTAATCAGATCAGAATATTAGAAGTAGGACTTTTCTTCTGATATCTTGGGAATTTGAAAGTATTAATTATAAAAATTTAAAGTACAGTACTATACAGTATTTATATTTTACCAAATACTCCTGTATGTTTCACATTAAAATTTTCTCTGAAAAATGCAGAATAAGCCCTGGCCTGTGTGGCTCAGTGAATTGAGTGCTGGTGTGCAAACCAAAGGGTTGCCAGTTTGATTCCCAGTCAGAGCACATGCCTGGATTGCAGGCCAGGTCACCAGTGGGGACTACATGAGAGGCAACCACACACTGATACTTCTCTCCCTCTCTTTCTTCCTTCCTTCCCCTCTCTCTAAAAATAAATAAATAAAGTATTTTTAAAAGATGCAAAACAATAAAAAATGTACATGAGTAGACCTAGCATTAAGTGGAATGATCATTTTGAATATGGTATGCATTTGAAATTTTTATGATATTTTTTATCATCAAGTTATTGTATACAGTCTTATTTTTTGTTTGCTTGTTTATAAAATCTTCAAGTCATTCTGCCAGTTGGGTCAGCTCCAGAATCATTTTTAGAGAAAAAGAAAGTGAGAAAAACTGGGCATGAGTTTGTGGGCCAAGATCGCTTATGAAATGTGTGGCAGATCAAGGAAGACAAGTTTGGCTTCATCTCCTGTGTGGTGTTAGCTTTCATGTGTGTACTGGGTGTGTCACCTAACACCGCCCCCCCAAGCACACATCCTTTCTCTTCTGAGTGTTGCTAATAGATAAGTACTATGTGCATGAACTCGCACTGCAGAAAGGAGGAACACGAGTTTCATTTTCCAGTTTCGTTTACAGTCTGTTAGTTAGCTCAAAGGCATCTTAGTAAAGGAAACTCCACATCCCCCTCTGCTCTCTGGGCAAAATTTAAGACACATTGCCCTTTATAGTTTTATTTCACTTGATGCCTCTGTTGCCTATCATGTAATTGTTTAATGGCAGAACCAATGGCTCTAAAAATCAATAGGGTAGGCCAATAGAAAATTATTAGTGCTACAAGTAATAACTAACCTTAGTGAGCTTTATATGTCAGGTGCTATACTATACTAAGTATCTCATAAACATTTAATCCTTTTTTTTTTTTAAACTGAAGATACTATTTTTTTATTTATCTTTAGAGAGGAAGGGAAGGAGAGAAGTAGAGAAATATCAGTGTATGGTTGCCTCTCATGGGTCCCCTGCTGGGAACTGGCCTGCAACCTAGGCATGTGCCCTGACTGGGAATCGAACCGCGATCGTGTGGTTCGCAGGCCCGCACTCAATCCACTGAGCTACACCAGCCAGGTTAATCCTTTTTTTTTTTTATTTTAAAGTTTTCATTTAGAGAGTGGACCTATGAACCACACAATCGCAGTTCGATTCCCAGTCAGGGCACATGCCTGGGTTGCAGGCCAGCCCCCAGCAGGGGACTGTCAAGAAGCAACCATACATTGGTATTTCTATCCTCTGCTTCCCTTCTTCTCTAAAGATAATTTCTTTTTAAGGTTTTCATTTACTTATTTTTAGAGAGAGGGGAAGGGAGGGAGAAAGAGGGAGTGAAACGTCAATGTGTGGTTGTCTCTCACATGGCCCCCACTGGTGACCCGGCCTGCAACTC